TTATCTATGTAGATATCTAATCGGATAAGATGTAGATCATCTAGACACTGAAGATAAGATAGGCGCCATGAAATTCTGTGACAGGTAGCTGAGAATAATCTGTCCAGATCCAGTCAGTAACTTTATAAAAGGACAGAATGGAGACACCTCTTTTCAACATGAGAGGAAATCATAGCTCAGATTTTCTGTGAATACCATTGATTTGCAACAGGCATTTGGAACCAGCACCAGTGGCACCTCTCCACCCAAGTGATCAATTTTGAATTGATGGAGGAGGAGGAGGATATATTAGTGAAGTCAGTGCAGACCAATCTTATCACATGACACCCAGCTTTTCGGTACAAATTCCAATTGAAAGGTGTCTATGCCAGTATATATGGCATACTAGTATAAACTGCTGCACACTATAAGTCTGCTGCGAACATTACTTGGAGAGCTAGATGGAGTCTGTATGTAGCACAGCGTTGTGTAGGGAGGTACCTTGGATCAAGGTCTTATGCATTTATGCCTCGCCGGCATCGGATGTCGGCCACCTTGAGGTGATACCTTACGTCACCAGGCATCATCAGAGCTGTCGTGAGGGTGCTTCCGCAGGGCAGGATGGGGTTGTCCCCTCTGAACGTCGAACATTGAAATGTTAACTGGACGGGATAGCTTGATTCCTTGCCCCATGGTCTTCAGTTCGTGAGGACTGTTCTCCCTCTCGACGTCATTCTCACCCAGTAAGAGCATTCTTCCGACCACCTGCTTCTTTTGGCCGCGCGAGATCGCTCTATGTAGTCCCTCTCGCGGTCACTCTCTCAGCTTAAGATTGAACATGATATCTCCTTTGGGAGCCTCGATACAACCGTCTTCCAGTTCGGTGGACTCTAGCACTCTCATGCACCCTGAGACTGTTGTTGGTTCGGATGCAGCCTCGGATAATAGTAACACTGTGACTCCCATATCCCAGCACTCATTTTCCCCAATCCACGACCCTTGCGACACAACGTCGTTGCTCAAGTCTGACGATAGCAAGAATCCTTCGGCTGGCGTTACTGCACCTTCCACCCGTCCACCCTCGTCTAAAGCACCTCCTGTTCTCACAGAGGACATATCACCAAGTTTAGTCTTCAACAAGTTCATCCTTTATGAGAATCGTCTCCGTTTCTACATCGTTGCTTCCAACACTTCCGATTCTCGTCATAAGATAATCAAGATAGACCGCACGTCACAAGATGAGCTGGAAGTAGTCGAAGATGAGGCCGTGTATAGTGGAAGGCAGATGAGCGCGATGCTGAAGATGCTTGAAGATGGGAACAGAGGCTGCGGTGGCTTAGGCAAGGCCAGGGTCTTTTTTGGTATTGCTGGTGCGCTCTCGGGTTCTCCTACTCTGATGTACCCAATATCAATGAATGCCAGGTTTTGTGAAATTTACTGCGGGATGGTACATGATTGTGATATCGAAGCGCTCCGTAGTGGCTCTTCTTGGTGGGCATTATATTTATCATTGTGAAAATACAGAGATCGTGCCGGTATGCTTCAATCACAAGATCGATAAGCCAGCAGAAGAGCAAAAGCTTATGAACATATTCAAGCAAGTTGACATGTCGAAAAACTTTTACTTCAGGTTGGTGTATTCCACTAGCTCGATCAAAAGTGGAGGTCTCAGTATGAGTGTACAAAGCTACACATACGACTTAACGTCTACTCTTCAACACAACCTCACGAGGACGGGTCTTTCTCCCTCAAGACGTTGGATGTTCAATGATCGTTACGCATGGAATTATCATTTATTGACGAGTCCTTTTTGTGATGGAAAGTCACCTTCCGTCAAAGCCCATTGGCTCCTTCCTCTCATTCATGGTCACGTCGATCAAGCTAGTCAGTTTTTCGAGCAATCTGACCACGCACCTGCCCATCTGATCTACATCAGAGCTGACTGTCTTAGGTCGTGTTATATTCATAACTCTTATCGCCCGCCGTTCGCGACACCACGCCGGAGCGCGTTATTTAAAGCGCGGCGTCAACGACGAGGTCGGCCTCTCTACTACTCCGTCCGCTCAACTTTTCGTTTAATCCAAGAATTCGATAGGGAAATGTCGCGAACGAAGTTGAGACGGAACAGATTGTTTCTGAGACGCTCACAACCCCATTCTACTACCCTGGTCCAAGATCATTAGAACATGTGCCGCAAGGTCGCCGCCCAAGTCCAAACTTTACGAGTTATGTTCAGGCGAGTATGATTCTGTACACACTTGGTTCAAAGTGGCTGAGGAGGCAGCTCACTAGTACCGTGGAAGTATCCCTATCTATTGGGCTCAGGAACCCAACAGCATGAGCCCGAGACCTCCCATCGAGAGTATGTAGGCCATCCCAGTTTTGATGACTATCAGATACTGACATAGATGCCAGTCAGTGTCATGGACCCCTTCTATACCGCGGCGGCCCGCCATTTTGCGGATCTCCTCGCACGATATGGTGCGCCACTCATGATCCTGAACTTGATTAAGAAGCGCGAACCAGTGGCGCGTGAATCGAAGCTTGGTGTAGAATACACACAGTGTGTAGAATATCTGAACCAGTTTCTTCCTCCTGGTAAACGGATGATCTACCGTGCATGGGATATGTCGCGTGCATATAAGGAGTACGCGTCTCCCGTCGTCGACAGGTTCGTTTATCTGATCTATTATGCTCTATAGGAAGACGCAGGACGTCATTGGCTACCTGGAGGATATCGCAGAAGAGTCTATACAGATGACTGGGTTCTTCCACTCTGGACCGGAGCCATACTCCCATGCTCTACAAATCGCGGAAGAGTAAGCCTGCTCTCCTCGAAGAGTGAAGTTTCATATTGAAGCATGTCTATGCAGAAATAACACCAATATGTCTTGGCGGAGGACCATGTCATTACAAAACGGGATATGTCGTACAAACTGCGTTGATTGCCTTGACCGTACAAATGCCGCGCAATTCGTGTTTGGAAAGCGCGCTCTAGGACATCAACTCTATGCGCTTGGGGTAGTGGACTCACCCAACTTGGCATTTGACTCTGACGCCGTCAACATGCTCACAGAGATGTACCATGACCATGGAGACAGTATGTTTCTCATATGATGGAACGGGTAAACACGCAACTGAAGCAACACGATATAGGTCTGGCTTTGCAATATACGGGAAGCGCTTTGGTAAATCGCGTTGAAACCTATCGACGGATGCCACATTGGAATAGCCACTCTCGGGACATCATCGAGAACTTGCGTCGCTTTTATGCCAATTCACTTTTGGGTCAGTCAGTGTGTCAGTTTATTTCGGCATCCTGTACTTATATCGCCCCCTCCAGATGCGGATAAGCAAACTGCGATAAATTTATTCCTAGGTATAAACCCTGATCGGCCTTCACGCCCACCTCAGCGAAGTAATTATCGATCTTGGGTCAGTCCGGAGCATTTGGAGCCGGCATATATTCTTGAGGATTGTCAACGCAGCATCAACCAATTTGTTAATTCAAGAGGGGACTTCTGGATCGAGTACTATCGGCCGCTGCTGTTCACTTCGCTTGGAAAACACTTCGCATTCTCGATGAATAGCACTCTCAAGTTACCGGGGTGTGTGTGAATCGACTGGCTATACAGATTTATTGATACCTGTCGCACACAGAAAAACTGCGCGCGATATCAATCACAGTCCATTCCTACCCCACAACAATTCGCCCAGTCGTCACCATCCAAGGTGAGAGTCTACCCTTTATCTGATTTACGTCTAAAGGAAACAATTCCACAGGCTGATGGATGGAGTTCGGCGGTGGATAAGCTCAAGTCCAGTCCGTGGATCTCGTATATCCCACGCAGACCGTACGGCAAGACCGCGGTCTAGACACATGGGCAACGTTGTAGAGCAGGATTCAAACTTAACCGAAGTCATTGCAACCCAACTCATGGATCCTATTGTGTCCCCGAAGGAGGAGGCAGAATATCAGGAGTGAGTCTCTTCATATGTACATGTATGTGTAGCTGAGATGCATTGTATCAAGGTATGTCGACCAGTATGAGGAGTTGCTCGTCATGTCGGATGACGGCGTTGCAAGAGATGACCTCGAACGATACCAACACGGCGTATGGATCGTACAGGGTAATCTCTCATGTTTGCATGATACAAAAGACGACATGGTCAAATTCGCAACGTACATCGAGAGCACAACTCCTCAGCGAATAGGCGGTCGGGATGCTCTGCCAATCAAGTTTGATTACGAGAAGTGGATCGGAGGAGTTGTAACACATTGATTGGTTCCTATAAACCAATATCATTGCCTAATCACACTGCATCCTATTGGACCAAGCTTAAGTATATTTAGATCATTACCATGGACCAGCAACGCCAACTGAAAGTTAAGCACGAAGAGTTCCTCTTGATCATCGTCGAGACTTGAGAGTCACAGTGTACTATGGACATTGCGTGGATTCTCACTCAGGCTCTCGCACGCATGTGCAGATTTTTCGTCAATGAATACTCTCTATCATTAAATTTCTGCTGCGCCCACGCATGCCTCGTTCTCACAAGCGTGTGTATATAGATACGCATGCAAAGGTATGTTGTGCTTCGACTGAAGATTACAATCCATGGCTAATTTCAGGCTCATAAACAATCTTCCCACTAAAGAGGACATAACGGCATGTCACATGTGTATCTGCAATACTACCTAGTACATAGCTAACCAAGCATGTATGATGCACCGCATCCATATCTGCGTCCATCATTCCACACACTCCCCATGACCACGGACTTCTGTACCAGCGTGAGAACGATGCTCGGAAATTTTGGGCACTATGTCGCTGTGTGACGGTGATGGAGGGGATGTGGAGAGTGGCGAACACGACGGAGCGTACTGCGAACTTGTGCAAGACATTGGAGGCGATGCGCTTCCCGAGGAGACAGAAGCGAAGGGTGATACTGAGCGGATTCCCCGATCAGCACTCAGCCGTGGTGGCAATTGCTGTCGTGAGTGTGGTCGCGATGACGGGACAAGCGGGGGCGTACGCGCTCTTGACAGAGACGGTGGTAATGGGCTAAATCCCTGCATATGTGCCCGAGGAGTCGTAGCCGTTGTAATAGAATGTGAATGTGAATGCGAGTAGGGCACCCCGAATGGTATATGACTGGTATCCAAATGTAGTGGCGAGTTTGAAAGTGATTCAGCCAGCTTAGAGTTGCGTCTCTGTGAATTAGACAAGTGCCGCGGAGACGTTTGCCGGGAAGATGGAATTAGCGGCGATGAAGTGAGATGCCTCGGCGACAGTGACGGCGACGCAGTCAACGTGGATGATTGGTTATGGCTCGCACTCGTGTCGAAGCGTGGTTGTGGAGATGAAGACGGGGCAGGTGTGATTCCATATGATTGGAGAGCACGGAAGAGGCGGTCCTTCGCAGGTGACGTCTCGTAAAATACATTTGAGTTGGATCCTCCTAGGTATGATGATGAATGTGAGGGGGATAATGCTTCCCCAGGTATAATATACTGTGGACCGGACATGTAACTTGCAAGTTGCAACTGTGTGAATCGATTTGGTAGCGACATTCGCGAAGGTCCCGACAATGATCGCCGAGGGGAATCTACACGTAGTGGTGACGAAAAGGTATCCTGCACCTCTGGATGGTTCGTGCCGATATTCGTTTCGCTTAGCTGTTGCGCCATCCTCACTACGGGTCTTCCACGCAAACGCGCAAGCATTTTTGCGTCCAACCCTGCTTCAGCCCTCAAGCTTGCGCGAGAGCTGGAGGGATCAAGCACATAACGTGGTGGATCGTTGCGCGCCTGTTTGAGCTGTTGTCTTTCAACAGTAACAGTCGGCTCGCGCGACGCATCGCGCTCTTTCTCGCGTCGACGACTTAGCGCGCCATCTTCGGTGAATGACCGCACGGAGTGCGCGTCATCAGACTCCATGAGATCGGAGCGCACCTCGTCGTCAGTGTGCACTTCGCTCGTATTGGAAGATGAGGCATATGCTTTACTCCTGGGCCCATGTTCGCGACCTGCACCCGCCACCGTAGCGAGTGCAAGGCTTCGACCAAGACGATCCTCGAATGATGAATGATCTGCTTCTGAAGCTTCAGGTGGTGGTGGACTGGTCCACTTCCCGCGCTTGGGCGCCATATGCTCGAGTTGGTCGATTGGAAGACGTATCGGAACATTTGTCTCAAGATCGGACACCGACACAAGCGATGGAGACGGTGCTGTCGACGATGTCAAAGGAGATACTACTGGCGACTCTTGAGGCGAAAGATCATCGGCTACTGGGAGATGCGTTGGGCGCATGGGACTGCTACTGACCGTATATGGGACTTGAGGAGGTAGTGGTGAAAGACGGGGGGGTACGAAGGCACCACGCGATGGAGAAGGATGAAGTAGTTCTTCACTCTTACGTTCTTCGCATAGCTGGGCCAAAGCTACAATTGCCCGTTCCGGACGGCTTGCAAGGATCCGGGAGGCACGCATAAACTCGCCACGGATCTATGCGGTGATGAATTGGCGCATGACTCGGCACTTTGGCTCACAGAAACTCACAGTGTATAGACCATCACGAGTGACACACCGCGCGACGTTGAAATCCGTCTCAAATGGATCCTGTTGTATCATACCGCAGTTAGTACTGGATCAAGTTGTCGAATCACAGCTTACCTCTATACATAGACGGTTCCGCTCTCTCGGGCTCCCCTTCTCCGCCTAAATGACTCATAAGACCCAGGAGACACGATAGAACGTCATATAGCTTGCCTCGCTCTCCCAGCCTTTGCTCTCCTTCTTCAAAAGCCCAGCTCTAATTGATGCCACGCCAGATGAATATGCGAAGTCACGCGAATAAAACCTGAAAAAATCAATTAACCTATTTTAAAAAAAGACGATCATCAGTATTGTGAGATAGAGAAGAGTGTTCTATTGTACAGTTCAGCCACGCTTTCCGAATCGGATGATTTCCATCGCTGGCGCAAAAGCTCTATATCGTCGAAGAACCTACGTAAGGATGTCAATAATGTCGGCCTACAATACACGGGCGAGTACGGCCAATGATTACCATATGTTGTGACCGTTCAAATGAGTCTCCTCCTAGAAACTTACTCAGTGTTGAGGACGAACGTCAAGGAGCTGGATTACCTCCGATATGGGACGTAAAGGCGGCATCTGTTGCAGGTTGGGAAGGACTGGTGGGTTCTTGACGTGAATTAGGAAGTATAGTACTAGAAGGACATAGCCATATGATGATAGTGTTCCTTTATACGGCGAATTAATCTTGCTGTGTCAGCAGTCAGCAAAAATATTTCTCATGTTATCGCGGGGCGCGTACCGTCGTTTGCTCCACACTTTTACTACGCGCCCGTACCCATTCATATGAGTGCAAATTGCGACGTGGACGTTCTAGCGGACACTTACGGAACAAAACCATTGTCCGCACACGGGCGGGATCAATCATAGCATAACACATAAGAAGGCGTGTATTCTCTAATGCGAGCCGGTTCTCAAAACCAATATCGCATGCGATTCCAAATGGAAGACCCGGAGCAGGATCGAGAGATAGTTTCACGATAGGTATTCGGGCGCGTGGCAAAGGTTTTACATGGAACTTGGTTTCTGGTACCACGATTAGTTTCCTTTCGATACCAGATACAGATTGCTCACCTCGCTCCAGCAAGTCACCGAGCATGTTCACAAGATCGGTGGCCGAAAGTCGCTCTTCCGAGTCGATCAGGCAGCATAGATCCATGTCTAGATAGATAGATCAGACATACTATGCATAACGCGTACAACACCACGTATACCTGAGTTGCGGAGACTGAAGCCATTCGCACTGCTGCCAAATGAAAGCAGCCGGCTATCGGGCTCGATAGTGCGAATGAGTCGCTCGAGGAGCTTGCGTACGTCTTCTTTGACGGTCATCTCCTCCGACGTTGGAAGCAGTTGGATAACGAAATCGAAAAGACATTGGGAGAATTCGGCGGCGAACTTCTGCCTAGACGCATGCTTGCGCTGGGGTGAAGGGTTGCCATTGGGCTGTAAGTACTGTTGGCGAGGAGATTGGAGGGCGCTGACAGGCTGAGCATAGACAGCAGCCATTGGACGTCTCGGGAGTTGAAGAGCAGAAAGGAGGACGCGTTGGCCAGCAGATGGAGAGAGATGAGGACGTTGCTGGGAGGACTTGGAGTGCTGTGACTCTAGAGGCAAGTTCGCGATCAGGCCGTCCACCCGCCGCCTGCTATCCAGCCCGTTATAGGAGAATGCTGCCGGAGTCGAGCGCCCACGTGAGGACGCCCACTACTACAGTTCCTTAAATATTTTACCCTCGACTTTGTTCTACATTTGTTCTAAATCGTGGCTGGGAGGGCGACGGCCGCTCCGATTATCTCGATCTTATACACAACACTTGTTCTAGCAACCCATCCATATACAGTTGCGATAATGCCAGCGCGCGACGATCGTCGCATGGCAGTCCCACATACAGACAAGGACCAGCACACATCATGAAGTGAAACGAATCGTCAGCTTTTGTTTGTGTTTTCCGTGTCTTTTTCTAATCTACCTATTTTCTAAACGACATAAAATTATCCTCTTCGTGACAATTCACTGTGCAACATATTGTCAGTAGGGATCAAAAATAGAAGGGGAACTGGTACAAACCTAAATGCTGAATCAATACACGACTTCACCTCCTTGTAACTTACAACCAGACAGCTTTGTTCATCACGAGCGACCAGCATGATACGTTCGTCTGTTCCAGCATCCAGCTATGGACAACCAGTCAACAACGATCACACATGTACAGCTCTCAGACATACCTTGTTGAGACACGTGAAAACGTGCGACAGATTGACAACAGGGTTGCCTTGCTCATCGACCTGATGAAAGACATAGTCTCGAAAGAGCTTGATGATGTACCGATCACCAGTTTCTGACCACCGCGGCTCACGAGCAAACCTGACAACGTGTTAGCTGCGTGTCCGCGCGGTAATGTCCATTGCGCACTCTGGACGTTCGTTGATGAAACCGAATTTGCATAAAAGCCTCACAAGGCGTGCATTCTCGAGCTCCGACATCAGCTCGCTTTCCAAACGATCAACGGCGCTGCGTGAATGGGAATGTCAGACATCATGGCACGGCAAAAGCTTCCACTTCGGCTTACTTCTGCATTTCGATCATCTCCGTCGGCACCCTGTTCCCAATCATATCGAACAATTGGTTGATAGCCTAATGGACCAACATCAACTTCACTTTGTCACAGAAAACGGATTAATTCACCTTGTTCGGGGCAGGAGTGACCAGAAACAAGGCCACGGCCTTCAAATCTGCAGAATAGTGTCGTCCAATAGTTTCGATCGCTTTTTGAACGTTGTTGATGGCGGCGAGATTGCTGCAGCAAAGTGCAAGAAGAAGTTTGGCGAACATGAATAGATCCTCTTGTTGTAAGTAAGCGATGTCCGCTCGTGACTCGTACATGAGGACGTCGACAACGCCGCACGAGCTGATGCGAACCCTGCAGGGACGTCATTCATGTTAGAACCGAGACGGTTATTGTCTCGGGCTCCAGATGCACTCCCCAGATGTACGGTGAAGTAAGACATTACCTATTCTGCCCCGTAAGAAGGACTTTTGTAGCGTCAATAATGCGCACAGCCATTCCTGCCTCGTGCACCGTCTTAATAGCACTCGCTATTTGAGTCACATACGACCAGATAATTTGCTCGGGTATGCGAGAAGTCTGGGCCTGAAGACGCCCGTTCTGAAATTGCGGTGCCTTCGGTTTCATGTGAGCATCATAAAGCGTTTGCGAGTTGGGGTGGTAGTCGTACACCACAACCAATGCTATGAAGTAATATGACATGAGACCCGAGTGAGAAGCCAGAGATCAAACAATGCTATCGCACAACTATCGCCGAATGCACGACTCGTGAACGCCTCGCGCACTGAAATGATGTTAGGATGTCGGATGGCTGCCCAAAATTCAATGCCAGAGAATGCGGCCTGTTGCATGAGGCGAAAGTCTATAGATGACACAAATTAGGGGCCTAATGGACTGGAATAAATCTGGCTAGCACGTACTTTCAATTCTTCTCAGCGCATAAGACAATCCATCTGTGGAATTGCTCGCCCGATACACAGTAGAATACCAGTTCCCAAACTTCCGCCTCTCTCCGCCAATCGACTCTAGAGGCACTAGCGTGTGATAGCCTTGAATCTCCTCCGGTAAATTAAGACCAGTAGCAGGAGCTGTATGGATAATTTCGGATCGACGTTGCAGCTCCTCTCGAATGTTGTCAGTTACAAAATACCGCTCCGTGAGGTCGTCTGGGCGAGGTTGAGTGTACAAATGGTAGTTCAGCTATGTAACAATACACCCAATATGAGAACAACGTGGGTTGGATCAGATTGCAAGCGCAACGCACTGGTTGCCTAACAAATGTGAACTGGGTTGAATATAAAGGGTCCATTGCGCCGTCATAGCCAAGCATCTGTGAGGCGTCTGCATATGGATTGGATACGATTTGGCCCTGATGGCCGTGAGAGCCATCGCTTCCCATGTCTCCATTATGGCCCCCATATACATGTGCGTCATACGGATCATGGGTGTCGTAAAAATCCGACTGGACAGAATAGTACTCGGTTGGCGCCGAAGACGATCTTAGGTCTCGATCAGGAGCGTGAGCTAACATGAAGGACCCAAGACCTACGAAGACATCGACATCTGAGAGTTGATCAAAGCTGAGGAGATCACTGGACTGTCGGAGGTGGTCGACGTCTTCGGAACGAAGACAGGAGCGTTAACGGCCTGAGCAGGAAGAGCAGCGCTCGGCGTAGGCGATTCGGGCGGTCTTCATTATCATTAGCTCGGATTACGAATATCAGAATCACTCATGGGACGCACACAGGTGAATATTCATCGCGCTACGCGTTGGTGAGTATACGATTACAAATCAAGCGCGAAGGGACACACTGGTGGAGGGTGATAATAGATACAACCTTTGTCTTGAAATTTACATGATCTGGTGACTTATAAACCCGCTGTAGCACAACGGCAGTGGGGGGAACACACCCATAAATCAATATGTTTCTACATTGTCGTTGAGTAGAATCTAGAAGAAGCTGTGGTCAACGAAGATAATGCTCAAACGTCATGCGCACCCTTCTTTGGAGATGGTTTCGGACTTGAGGGGTGATCGATGGAAGGAGCGACTATCTTGACGGCGGAGGAGGAAGGCCTGGAGAAGAAGGCCATTTCACCCTGAGCCATCCTGCGGCCAAGAGGTGGTTGGTTCACAGGGACGAGAATGCAGCCATATCGGGCGCCAGACGCGCTGCCCACGTGCCATCCATACATAGCCCCAAACAGTCACCCACAACTGGGTGGCGTTTACTTGTCTTAATCCCCCTATGTCCAGCCTCGCTCGAGATGCAGCAGCTTTCAAGTCTGCTCTACACAGGCAGGACTATACATCTTGGCACTCTCAACCTCCTCCACTTCAGCAGCAACAGCAGCAGCCTGCACCCGAATCCACGGACGTGTCATCAAAGTCTAAGAAGAAGCGTCCGAAGTCAAGCACGTCTCCCGCGGCTACCTTGACCCTATGGCTAATCTGTTGGTGTAGATGTTGTGTACTCCCAGCCTGCTGACACTGGCTCTGGCACGAACGTCAATACTCAACTCGTTTATGTTGTGAATCATCTCAAGTCCACAGGCAACCCTACCCGATTGCAAGATCTCGCCATTTTGACCAACACGCCCATTGATACCGACGCGGTCCTACTTGAGAAGTTCAAAGCACACGATCGTGTTTTATACGATCCTAAAACGGATCTCTACTCCTACAGAGTATGTCATTTCGTGTAGGCATGGCTGGCTGTGCCCAACCGTTCGATACTAATCGCATATAGCACGACTACAATGTGAGAAACAAAGCGGCCCTCTTGACTGAAATTCAGCGACAGACACGCAAAGGTGGCGGACTTTCAGTGCGCACACTCAAAGAGAGCTGGAAGGAGGCGCCACAGGCGATAGAGGAGCTTGAAAACGAAGGAGAGGTGTATGTGACCCGCACGCTCAAGGACGGTCAGATGAGGATGGTTTTCTGGAATGAGGTGAAACCGGACGAGGAGAGTGGGGGTATGCCAGTGGAGAAAGGTGCGTTGTTATGCTCTCGCTTTGGCAGGATGATTCAACTTAAGATACTAGAATTCAACGATCTCTGGCATTCTCTTCACGTCCCGAATGATGTGGACCTCCTCAAGCAGCTTGCATCAGAAGGATTGCAAGCCACAGCCGCTGAGACGATTATTCCAAAAACTGGAGCTGGAAAGAAGAAGGGCAAGCGGACTGCACCACGGCATCGACAGGTGCGGATCACCAACACACATTTGAAAGGACAAATAGACCTTTCTAGAGATTATGTCGCTCCTGGTGCGAAATAATGATAGTGGTGCCTTGACCGCCATCCACTAGATGATCACTATCAGGAACAAGAATACTGTATTTATAATCTATACAATATACATACAAATAATAGATGCCCTGGTCGCTGTTGTCGGTTTTCGTATTTGAAGCGTACCATGGTCACTTCGACCAGTTTGAAGAGGTGTCGCAAGTTATACGTTTGGACATATCGATGTCTTCATGCCACATGTTATCCCGAACACCGCAAGACAATGATGCATGATGAGTAGTGAAGGCCATTGCGGCTTACTCATAATGATATATATCCATTACAAAATTAAAAACCTTTTGTTGAAAACGCATGTATACGGCAAGATATCACAGAAGGTACAGAGTCTAGCATTCTGAATACAAGCCTTACCTGTGGCCCGTTTGACCATTCAGTCAGATAGCTCAAGTTAAATCGGGAGACAGTTTATTCTTGCGCCAGGAAAGGGTTTGCAATCTCTTCAGATCCATCCACAGGGCTAAGGAGAGTGATAGTGGGACCGCGTAAAACAACCAGCCCAAGGGACCGTGTTTGCAACTGAGCTTCTGCAAAATTGGTTGAGGAAATTAGTCCGATCGTGAATTTGCTATCCTCACCGTTTTGGAACTGCTCCTCCACCTCGTCGAGGACAAGGTTGAGGAGCTGGTCAAAGCCCTTTAGAATACCAGTAACTACATGTATCGTCAGCAACGCGCATTGCAGCCGGTGCAAACTCACCTTCTCTACCACCAGTGAATTTCACTCTGATTCTTTCGTTTGCATACTTGGATAAATCAAGAATGGCCTCGCGTTTCGGTTTGTCCATGGTAGGCTGGGCACTGGGAGAAATGTAAGCGGGAAGTATGCAAGCGTATATAGCGTGGTCTTACTGTGCATTGCGCCCCCTAGTCGCTGAGGTAGCCCCCCTCACCCCCCTGAATACACCACGACCCTGTATGTGTGAGAACGTCCGTTGGCTGAATCTCCGAAACAAATAAAAATCGCACTCTGTCCGCCATTTCAGTTACGGCTCTTCTTCACGTTGTGTCCTGCTGTCTTTTCCGACAAGCTCACGCGGTACTCGTTGTTTCAGTCGATTGAAGGCGTCCGCAGATCTCTCAAATACGAGCGTGTAGCGAGATCTCTAGGCCGTCTACGGAGTATTACACAGAATAGAGATTTGAAAGATCGGTGGATCCCATCAACAGAAGTATATGAGCATTAGATAGGAAGATATAAGGCTATAGCGCATGCCTTCTGTGTAGCCTGGCTCTTGTTCGTCGGCTGTGGCTGGTTGTTGCAGTGTGGCTTTGAAAATCCGACGCCGCGCGTGCTGCTTGCTTTCATCCCTCAACCCAGCGCGATTTGCCACTCCCTTCCTCCCCATCTATTCACGGTCCACAATCATTCAGAAAGTGTGCATTGTACTGCTTTTTCTTGCTGCTCTATTCTCTCAATCGCAAACAAAATCTCAGCGTGACTTACGATCATGAACGCCAGTGAACTCCTCGCCAATACCCTATCTCCAGGTCTGTCTTTCGACTCTCGTCTTCGCGTTCTGTATTACACAACCTCATATCCTCGTGTTTCGTACAAAAAGACGCGCATACTCGTCAGGATGCGACTCAGCAGCTGGAGAATGCATCCCGCGAGAACTACGTGCGCACTGCCTCGTCGTATATGGGGGCTCTTTACTGATCGAATTATTTTCGGTGCAATGTATGCAGCCCGCATATATGTTGATGTTATGTTCGGAGCTGGTCAACGAAAATTCACCCCAACATGTGAGGAATGCCGCAGGTTTAGCTTTGAAGAACGCCTTGACCGCGCGAGTGAGTGATGACAACATCGTGTTTCAAACCTTATGAGCCTGATTTGTCTGCAGGAAAGTGCTCGCCAACTAGACTACACAAACAGATGGCTTGCTGTTGACGGTGATACACGTGAAAAAATCAAGCAAGATGCCCTTATGGCACTTGGTTCTCCAATTGCGAAAGTTGGCACTGTGGCGGCACAGGTAGTCGCCGCGATCGCTGCAGTTGAACTTCCACAAGGTCATTGGATGGATGTGATTGGAATATTGCTCGGTTTCGTCAATAATGAAGCTAACACTAACCTGAGGATTGCTACGCTGCAAGCGATCGGGTTTATCTGCGAGTCAATCGTAGGTGTAATTTTAATATAATTAAAACAAGCTACTCAATTAGTTTCAGAAACCCGAAATTCTGGCTATGCGCTCAAATGAGATTCTGACCGCTGTCATTCACGGGGCAAGGAAGGAAGAACCGTCCCCTGATGTTCAGCTGGCCGCTATTCAAGCGCTCCTGAATTCTCTAGAATTTGTGCGCGAGAACTTCGACCGTGAGGTAAGATCGCTGCTTTCTGGCCTTGTGTCTCACAACTTCATCTCCTGAATTCCGCTAGGGGGAGCGTAATTACATCATGCAAGTCGTCTGTGAGGCCACGCAAAATTCCTCTGGTCCTGTTCAGATTGGAGCGTTTGAATGTTTAGTCCGCATCATGACGCTCTACTATGACAAGATGAGCTTTTACATGGAACGCGCGTTGTTTGGTGTAAGTGATCATTTGGTTCATCATAATGCTGATTCTACTCACTATAACAATAGCTTACAGTCATGGGTATGAAGCACTCCGAAGAAGCCATTGCCCTCCAAGCAGTGGAGTTCTGGTCAACTGTATGTGAAATTGAGTCAGAGTTGGCTTGGGAGGCTCAAGAAGTGCGTATGTCCTATTTGAGTTCATTTCCTAAATTCTCAACGCGACATAATAGGCAAATGAATACGGAGAGGTTCCTGAAACAGAGAGCAAATTCTTCGCGAAGATCGCTCTGCCTGAGATTGTACCTGTGCTTCTCCAGCTATTGACTCACCAGGAAGAGGATGCTGATGAGGACGAGTGGAATATTTCCATGGCGGCAGGCACTTGCTTGGGGCTTCTTGCTCAAGCGGTGGCTGATACCATTGTGCCGGCCGTCATTCCGTTCATTGAGGCCAACATTCGGGCACAAGATTGGCACCCTCGTGAAGCAGCCGTAATGACTTTTGGGTCCATCCTCGACGGTCCTGACCCTAATGTCCTCACTCCGCTCGTGAACCAGGCTCTACCCATCCTCATTGATATGATGAATGACTCCAACCTGCACGTAAAGGATACTGTTGCATGGACTCTCGGCCGTATCTGCGATCTTTTGGTCGGCACTATCAAACCGGACGTGCATCTGCATCCTCTTGTTTCTGCGCTGGTCAACGGATTGCAGGATAACCCTCGAATCGTGGCTAATTCCTGTTGGGCGTTGATGAATCTTGCTGATCAGCTAGGATCTTCAGAAGGTGATGACCTACAGGCCGCTGCTTCTAGCCCGCTGTCGCCATATTTCGACGGTATTGTGCAGGCGCTGCTTAGGGTCACAGAGACGTGAGTATACCTCAATTTGATCCGTCAGGATGCAAGCCTAATGTCATTTTATACAGCGCGAGCAATGAGGGTAATTATCGTACCGCAGCGTATGAAGCCATCACGTCCTTCGTCACCCACGCCACAATGGACACAATTCCTGTGGTGCAGAACACCGCCGTTGCGATCCTGCTCAGAATGGAGCAACTCCTTGGCATGCAGGTCAGCCGCACGGCGCCTTCCGATAATTAACATATGCTGATGAGGTGGCCTACAGAATCAAATCGTCGGAGTTGATGATCGCAACAACTGGAACGATCTACAGAGCAATTTCTGCAGCGTGATTATTGTACGTTTCAGCGCAAAAGTATCCTGTAATGTGATGTCTCATATGCACATGACAGAGTGTCGTCCGGAAGTTGGGCGATGGCATCCAACCATTAGCAGATCGGATCATGACTCTCATTCTACAGCTGATGGGGTCTGCCGGGAAGACATCAACTATCCTCGAGGATGCCTTCCTCGTTGTCGGCTCGCTGGCTTCAGGTCTGTGGTGATATGGCATGGCGTAGAATGACATTTATTCTTACACATTTTATTATAGCCCTTGAGCAAGGCTTTAATCCTTACATTCAAGCGTTCCTGCCATACCTGTACCCGGCTCTCAAGGCTCACGAGGATACACAACTATGCACTGTTGCAGTGGGGATTATTGGAGATATATCCCGTGCTCTCAGTGAACAGACCGCTCAGTACTCAAATGCTTTCATGAGTGTTCTCCTCGAGAATCTGCAAAGTGATGTCTTGAACCGCAACGTTAAGATTTCAATTTTGTCATGCTTCGGCGACATAGCTCTTGCGATCGGGCCTGCATTCGAACCATACATGAATACCACTATGGGCGTTCTGCGACAAGCGGGTGCGTTGCAACCAAATCCTGTGAGTATTGGTGGGATCCCATATAGTTCCTGAAGCTGATATACAGCTTAGCTCGACTCGGATTTGGTAGAGTATGTAGCGCTACTGCGTGAGGGCATTCTTGAGGCGTATACCGGCATTGTTACTGGGCTTAAAAACACCGATCAAGGTACCAGTGATGATCTTCTGGGTAAATTGTATTTATTGCTCACTGTGTTACGCCAGTTTCCCTTCTCCTGCCTCATGTTCAAAGTATACTGGATCTTGTACAGAAATCTTTGGCCGACAGCGAGAGAACTGAGTCGTCCGTTAAGCTGGCTATAGGACTTGTTGGTGACCTAGCCGACGCGTTCCCTGACGGCCAGATAAAGCAATTCTTGCTCGCGGAGTGGATTATGAGCGAGCTGCGGACGAAAGGCCGTACATTGGCAGAAACGAAGAAAACCTTACGCTGGGCCCGCGAAGTAAGACTATTTTTGTGTCCTGGCTGACAGAATCTGATGGATTTCTTATAGATGGTCAAGCGCGCAACTGCATAGAATTTCTCGATTCCCCTTTCCCCCTGTGCTTCAGAGTCCGCTATCAATTTCTGATCTCTCCATTCAACAATCTCGTCCCAACACCCATGTACCATGCTCATCCCACTTGCCATCTGAAGGAGGCATATCATCCATGTTGCAATTTGCATGCCCAGTAGAGCGGCCGCGAAAGGACCGCGGTTATGTCCTTAGGACTCTTGATTTGTTACCGCAGACGCACCACTGTTTCCATACTGTATTCCTGGGCTTACACTCATCTCGTTGTCGATTGCCGGCGCTGCATCGTATGTTTTCGATAATGAGCCGACGGCATTATTCGTTGGTTTCCTAATACTGATTCCTCAAGGGAAGTTAGCACGCGCACGGTTGTGCTATGTCTGTTATGCACGTCAATACATGTTCTTTTCTCCCGTCCGTTGTTGCGGCCGAATTGCGTCGGACGAGTTGTTGGCGTGTGATAAACGATCTCGTGATTCTAATTGAATACGTCCGCGTATCCTCGCGTGCACGGTGGCTCGCCGTCCTTTACTCCTTCCCAGTCTCTACCAGTCTCTCCCGCTCTTTCACCACCATGCCCACCTCTACGCTCTTCATCGTTCCTCTCTCTTTCCCCCTCATTCTTCTTCCGACTGGCAGAATTACCATCCCCATCCGTGCCACCGTAGGGGAGGTCCTTCTGCAGCTCATTCAAGAATCAGAAGCGCAGCCCATTGTTGCGGCTGTCCCCATTCCGGCCGTTGATTCTGCCTCTTTGCATGAATGGGGATGTGCAGCGCGAGTCGTGCGCATTGTACGTCCTCCCAAAGGTGTTGCTCGAGATGGGCAGCAACCGTACTTGCTCACCCTTCATGGCCTTTCTCGCATCCACCTCCCAGACGCAGAGGGTGCACAGGATCATTTTGAAGATGGAATCTTCGAACGTATAGTAGAATATCCTCAGGCTACAATCCCTCCTACTCCGGAAGCCGCGTCGACGTTCAAAGCTACAGCTGCTAGACTATTGGACCGTCTGATCCAGGATTCGGCCAGTGACACCAAGAAAGAATTCTACACGAAGCTGGCAGGCATGGTCGATGACGTTCAGATCCAACGAGCTCCTTGGCTGGCGGACCTTTTGATCTCCAGTCTCAATGCCGAATACACAGACAAGCTTGGTGAGTGTCGACATGACGCTCTCGATATGGCATCGCTTATGTATTTCTAGATTTCCTTTCTGCGTTCGACGTCAACGATCGGCTCAAACGTGCCACGGAGATGTTTATAAAACAGACATCTATTTCAGAAGTGAGCAAGAAGATTGCCCAGTCTATTGACGAGTCACTGTCAAGACAGCAAAAAGAATTCTTCTTGCGTCAGCAGCGGGCAGCAATTGATCGCGAACTTCGGAGCATCCAGCGATCCTCTCCGTCTCAGTCTCGATCATCTCCGAGCGATCCTACCTCATCAACCGGTTCTACCTCAGAGCTGGACGATGACGAACAAGCAGACGCGGCTGATATGGCTGACATACGTGCCAAAATCGAGGCGATGGCACAGGACAGCGAGGAGCGTAAGACGGCTGTCAGAGAATGGAGGAGACTTAGACGAATACCGGCCGGCAGCGTTGAACACGGCGTGATTCGAAACTATGTACGTTCCTCACATCTAATTCAGCAGATTTTCACTGACTCCTTTGTGGTATTTCCAAGCTTGAATGGCTTGCTGCTATGCCATGGCCTGCTTCGGTTGGCACGGTTGAGGCGGACCGTCTTCTGCGAGCGTTGCGTGATCGAGAGTTCCTATTGAAGGCGAGGAAGCAACTCGATATCGACCACTATGGGCTAGAGAAAATCAAAAAACGGTTGATAGAATACCTTGCTGTCGTTAGGTTGAAGGAACTGCAGGCGGAGAAAGGGGCTCGCATTGCGCAAGAGGGTCACGAGCTGCACAAGACTGATGATACACCTCAGCTAGATGCTAACAGTGGAGCTCTCGTCAAGCTCGAGAAAATTGATCCAACATCGATTCATCCGACACCTCCGCGCATCCGGAGGAAGAGTACCAAAGGCCCCATTTTATTGTGAGTCTGTCTGATTCAATGCGATAATATTAGTATTGTTTCCTGATTCACTGTGGATGTGATTCCCAGGTTCGTTGGCCCACCGGGTACCGGAAAGACGTCCTTAGGTCAATCTATTGCCCGTGCTCTTGACCGACCTTTTCAGCGGATCTCGCTGGGAGGTGTGCGCGATGAAGCTGAAATCAGGGGGCACAGACGCACTTACGTGGCCAGCAGTCCAGGTAACATCGTTCAGGCGCTCAGGAAAGCGGGCAGACCAGATCCTGTCATTCTCCTGTATGCCTGTTTCATCTGTGCTCGTTGTATTTGGCTCACAGATGTCTGCAGAGATGAAATAGATAAAATTGCTCACAACAATTTTCACGGAGATCCTGCGGCTGCATTACTGGAGGTACTCGATCCTGAGCAGAACCATTCATTTCACGTGAGTCGTTTGTGCGCTGATTCTTGCGCGAAAATATGGTGACGATGTATATTCAGGATCACTATATCAATGTACCCGTCGACCTGAGTCAAGTGCTGTTTATTTGTACTTCTAACACTCTAGAAACCATTGCTGCGCCATTGTTGGATCGATGTGAAATTGTTCACTTGTCTGGTACGCCTACTTCTGTGCGCGAGAGCTCTCAAATTACTTATTCTATCTTACAGGTTATACTTACAATGAGAAAATACACATTGCCCGGAGATTCTTGATTCCAAAGCAATTGCAAGCGAACGCCCTCACCTCAGACCACTTGATCATTCAGGACACTGCTTTGCTGCACGTTGCTACACACTACACTCGTGAAGCAGGTGTGCGCTCTTTGGAACGGGCAGTTGGTGCTATCATACGGCATAAGGCCGTCGAATGGGCAGAATACTGTGACAGTATTAACGCCGACCCTGATGCCTCGATTCCCGCCACTACTGCGCTAGGCAAGGAAACGGCCACGAAGATATACAACAAGTCCGTAGAGAAGCATGATTTGGAGAGAATCCTCGGTATTGCGAGATGGGAGGAGGAGGAACGCGAAGAACGCAGAGGTCTTGTCTACGGCCTCGTGGTGACGGGAATGGGTGAGGGTGATGTCATGCCCGTGGAGACTAGCCCCGTCCCGGAGGGTAGTGGCAAGCTGAAGCTCACCGGCAGCTTGGGTGACGTTATTAAAGAGAGCGCGGATCTTGCGCTCGACTGGGTCAAGGCGCGCGCTTACGACCTTTATATCACGAAGTCTAGGTCGCAGGACCCTCTGAAAAACCCCGATTCGATCGACGTTCATCTGCATTTGCCGTCGGGAGCAGTGAAGAAGGATGGACCATCCGCTGGTATTGCAATGGTACATCATACTTTTCCCAATTTGTATCGAAATACTGAAGTTAATTGTAGGTCTGCGCATTTGTGTCCTTGCTAACGGGAGCGTGTGTCTCCAGTGATATCGCTATGACCGGCGAGGTCTGTTTGTCTCTTACCAAAGACATGATGTACTAATTTAATAATATCAGATTACTCTCCGCGGTCGAGTGGGTCCAGTTGGCGGCATCAAGGAGAAAGTTCTTGGTGCGCACCGTGCGCGCATCACAAAGGTGATTATGCCGTGGGGGAACCGCCAAGATGTTGAACATGATGTCCCGCTGGAGATCAGACAACAGATGAAGTTCGTATTCGTCCGCACACTGGAAGAAGTACTGGAAGCTGCTTTCGGAAAGCGTGTCATTGGTCAGAGAAGGAGCGATGTGCTCCTTGAGAGCCGGTTATGAGTGTTTTGGTAATCCTATGTTTGTATCTTTAGTTTCTTGGGTACCATTTCGGACGTTTGGATGGCATAAATTCCTGTATCATATGCACTATTGGAGCTTCTAATATGTTAGTATTTGATTGGCGATTTGACATTGGAATAGTACGTGGCAGTAAGTAACTCGGCTATACAAACGCTTCAACACTTCGCGAAGAACTCGTACTCAAAGTTTAGCCTGCGTTTATGGCATGAGAACACAGGACAAGCCAGCTCGAGACTTTCGTTCCACCACGCGAACTATGACATATTGACAATACGCAGCGCAGAGTCACCTACGAATAGCCCAAGACTGCGAAGGGGGTTTATTATCATGGTGGCAAACCAGGAGATGATGCCTATCAAATATAAGTTCGAATACTGAAATATCTCTACAATTTACGGCTGCTCCTTTCAACGCTCGGCTATCTGCAAGAAACAAAGGGATAGAGTAGATTATCGCATGCGGCAGAACTGCAAATGGCTGGATTCAGTGTGTGGCTCGACTAAGGCATGAGATGATATGAGCTAACGACAAGGACTCCTCCCACAAGAGTTTCGCAAGTTACCTAGAAGCATCGAAATGCTGTGGGGCGACTTTTCGGATATCAGGCAGCTCCATTCCGTCGCTCAGCCGACGAGAAGCCGGAGCAGCGACACATTCTGTGACACGAGTAGTTTTGAGTAGATATAATAGCAGCATTCAACGCGAAGATGACTGAGACTTCATGGAAGATCGGTCGGGTACTAACCCTTGTAATGCTAGTCGAGGCCTGCACGGGCTCGGGTGCGCTTGTCGGGCTGAGATGTAGCGATGGCTGCAGCAATAATCCGTGTGTCCGGGTTTCTATCACTGTCGGGTGTTATGACTTTTTGGACAGCAAGAAGGATAGAGGTATTGCTCTGCACCAAACAGATGTCTGGCTGAGCCGATCGCGACGAGTCGCCACAGATGGTCAGAGGTGTGGGGTACCGGGAGTGTAGCCTGAGATTGCTACGCTGTTTTGGACCCAACCACGCACAAAAGATCTTTGGAAAAATTGTCAATTGCAGATTCTTGCCCCAGGTTGGCTGTGGAAGCGAGGCGCAAATATAAGAGGTAGTAGCTCTGGTCTGCCGGTGTATCGTCCGAAGGGGCATGAACAGGCCATCAAAGACGGAGTGAGGATCAAGTTGACCAGGGGAAGATTTTGGTTCGAAATCAAGGAAACCAATGGATTACTGACAATGAATGGTGATATTGTATGCTCACTTGTTTCGGAGGATCATAATACGGGAAGAGTAACGTGGTTACCCTCATCCTTCAAATTGTGACGTCAGTCACTCGTCGGGCGTCTAATGGCGCTTGAGGCGGCAGCTCATTGGCAGTTTCTGCACTTAGATCTGTATTTGAAGCTTCAGCTACTGCGTATTCGCCATGGAAATTAATGAAATGTCGGAAAATCACTCGTCGGAATTGGAAGATATGGTCCAATCGCTAGAGAATATCAAGCGCACGATTGGGCAGGCATGATCATGGTGCATTTCCTCTGAGTCTTCAGCAGCCTTACATACTATTCCTACGTGCAGCATTTTGTTTTTGGCTTTCATGGAAATGAGGTCTCCGAGGACATCCGTACTCTCATACGTGACTACTTCCTGGGGTGAGCACCGTCTTATGGATCGGACAATCACACACTCATCCTCGTCTACCATGACTGTCGCTAGCAATGTAATCATCATGAAACGTAATGTAAGAAGTACGCTGCCTACCGAATTGTTACCCCGTCATCCACTAGAGCTATGCGTTTGGCAGGCATCGCGCAAGTGCGCTCACTCGTCGCTGAGCTTCAATGCATCGCGAAAGATGCGGGACATATACGCCCGCTTATGATCGGAATCGATCAGGAGAATGGTGAACTATCTTATGCTACATCCATTTCGCAAGGTACTCATGCGTTTGTCCAGGACTCGTCTCGGCCTTCAGCTCGTCCGCTCACCACGACGCTGGGACACAATTGCGAGTTGTGCTTAGTCTGTGATCAGACTGACTGACCGACATATGCTGCAGCCCAGGCGCCATGGCTCTTGCTGCGACAGGCTCTGTAGATCTAGCGGAAAGAGTCTCTTCTGCCACGGGCAAGGAATTGAAATTAGCTGGCATCAATTGGGCGTAAGTCTTGTACACCTGTATGAAATATCTGGTCACTCATGATCTAGGCAGTTTTAGTCCGGTAGCGGATGTGAATTCCGACCCTCGTAATCCTGTCATAGGTCAGTGGTGGCTCAATGGCGTATATATTATGTCTCATGAATGCGATGCAGGCGTTCGCTCGTTCGGAGACAGTAAGTGCCAAGGCTGCAGATGCGAGCGGATTATACGATAAATAACCCTTATGGATCCCTGTTAGACCCGAATGAGGTCGCTCGGTATGTTCAAGCAGTAACCCGAGGGCTCACAGCTGCAGGTGTTGCGCCGTCCGCGAAGCATTTTCCGGGGCACGGGAACACGCATATCGATTCGCATCTGGGACTTCCCCGTATTCTTTCCACGTCTGAGTCTCTCGCAGCTACCGAACTTCCCCCGTTTCATGCAGTCATTTCCCCCACAGGCGGCGACAGTTCCATTGCGAGCATCATGACCGGCCACATGGCCCTTCCCAACGTGACTGGAGATGAGACCCCTTGCTCGCTCTCGCGTGCGATCACAACGGGGCTCCTCCGAGAAAAGTTGGGGTATGATGGAGTGGTCGTGACGGATTGTTTGGAAATGGAGGCAGTAAGCGCAATGGACGGAGGTGTGCCAGAGGGCGCAGTTCGTGCCTTGGAAGCTGGCGCGGACATCGTCATGGTATGCCATCGATTTGATAGGCACCTCGGCGCGCTGAAAGCCACGTACGAGGCGGTGAAACAGGGTCGGTTGGACATGGATGCCTTGCGGGCCAGCGGGGAGAGAATTGCACGAATGAAAGATAGCTTCGCAGGCAGCTGGGACAGCGTACTCGCAGCTCAATCTCGGGAACTCAGCTCAGATACGTTGATGTTCATGAAGAAGGAACATGCGGAACTGAGCAAGGAGGCATACGCGCGTTCTGTGGCGCTGTTTAGACCCCTCAATCCCGGCCAGACCGTGCTCCCGCTACGTCGCACCGGACATGTAGTGCTCTTGACCCCCCGAATGGAAAGCATCAATCTCGCGGTCGATGATTCGGAAGGCACGCCTCGCGTTCTCTCAGTGAAAGACGGCCAGGGATGCGTGCGGTCTCTGGTACGCAACACGGCAGGCCCTTCATACGAAGCGCTTTCTGCAGCCATGGCGCTCAGGGTTCAAGTATACCACATTGTTTATGCACCTGAAGACGGCTGGGATACAGGGAGCCTGGAGCGGGTTGTTGGCGCCGAAGCGGTTGTGTTTGCTGTCAGAAATGGGTTGGACAAGGGTCAGTGGCAGATCAAATATCTCCAGGACCTACTTCGTACCGCAAGCACGGACAGTGGAGGGCCGAAGCTCGAGGACAAGCTGGTGCTGATCTCGACCTGCGGCCCGTACGACCTCCTTGATCTGGGGAGAGTATTACGAGAGGACCTGTGCAATGTTCCCTCTCTAGCGACCTTCGAGTTCACTGTGCCTGCGATGCATGCGCTCACCGCAGTCTTATTTGAGGAAGCAAGTCCTTCTGGGAAGATTCCTGTTTCACGAGTCTCGCGCAGTGAGTAAATAGGCGAGGGAATCTTGATCGTTCGTGGATGCTACGTTCTCCACAAGAGTTGTTTGCGACAGTGTCGTTTCTGCTACGAGCTACAGTACATACACACGAAATCGGACACAAGCCAGGAATTGATCTAGTACATGTTTGCGTGGCAAAACGGTCTGGGCGTGGTGATTGGGTTCTAAGTACGGAAAGCTTAAGTAAGTTCGGGCAGGCCGATCAAACGAGATGCGCGGAGTTTCCGAAGACTCGCGACTCGCGAGTCGCGATCGACGCGAGGCGAAAGCCCACCGAGACTCGACCAGCGTGCCCGAGCTGCTGTCTCTCGCTTTCTTCATTCATTCTCTGGCTAACATCGCAGAGGACGATGGGAAATCCAAATGATACCCTTCCAAAGCTCTCTGCTCCTGAATCCTCTAGCACCGCAGGTTCTACGCCAGCTACTAAACAGAATCGCGTTCAAGAGACTTTACGACATGTCCTCTTTGTCCTAGTTGCTTCTGTGCTTGCCGGCCTGGCAACCTATGCTTCCCGTAAATCTGCTTATAAACGTGCTTATCTGACCTCATTGCCGGAGTCCTATGCACTATGTGCCGAGCATGGGAAGATATATACTGTGGATGAAGATCGGCTGAATGTAGACTGCATCCTGGTCAAGGGAGATACTATCCAGGCTACTGGAAGCATGGGTATGTCGTCCCATTTACCTTCCTGGCTGCTTACTTATTTGCAGATGAGCTCCATACCTACTGGGATATGTATCAGAACGAACTCGTCAACAAATTCTATGGCGGCGAGTCGAAGGCAAAGAAGCCACTTACTATTGTAAACACTTCGATGGGAAGCATCGTTGTGCCTGGGTTAGCAGGTTCGTACTTCTGTTTGCTTCCTGTCATATGTGCTACATCGGCTGTTGGAGCTCGCGCTAGTCAGCCACGTTTTGGCCAATTCACTTCGTTATCATTATGTCGTTTATACTCATCACGGAAACTTATGTGTTATCTTTTTATGTACAGATGCACACGCACATCTCATGTTGTACGGTGAAAAGATGCAGCTCAACCTTGAGGGTGCAGAGACTATAGAAGGTGAGTGATTTCATGTCAGTCCGGGTGTCTCGAGGTTCCTGCACATATTTGTATCGTTGAGCTTTGCTACCCCTTATCTCTTTCTTGAATTATTACTCATGGCCGAGTGAGGCGCTAAGGCCCAATTTAAGTTAGTCCCTGTTACTGTAATAAAGAAACGGGACAATATTTCGTCAATATGTCTCGTTTCAAGTTCTCACTTAATCGCACTATATAGCGCGGAATAAGAGTATAAAAGGGGCGATATATTATGGGTGAGGCATGCTGACAGCCTGAACACATGCCGAGTCTCATTCGTCTAGTGGAAGATTTTCAAATATGACCCAGGCTTTGATGTATGCTGTCTGAAGTCATCCCTTGCCATCAGCTTTCTGACTCTTTGCTTTACGTGCGTTTCTGACGTTTTCTGATTCACCATATAAGATGTTCTTGACCGCATTGAAGACTACGCTGCATCGCATCCGACTGCGTCCGATGACTCGGAACATTGGATAACGGGATTTGGGTGGGATCAGACACGCTGGAAAGACTGGAAAGGCGGTTTTCCAACAAAAGTAAGTTGGATTCTTACGACCGAGATGACATTATGACAAACGGCTCCTCAATGGGGATATAATTTCACTGCGACAGGACGATCTGGAGTCTCGCGCACTGCTCGCTAATCGTTCCCTTGCTCTATCTCGAGTCGACGGCCATGCGTTGTGGGTGTCTACACGAGCACTTGAGCTGACCATGGCGAATATTCCCGGAGGAAGTTGGCCTGATGTAGAGGGCGGTGAGGTCGTGACTGATGAGAAGGGCGACCCTACAGGTGACTTTGTTTCCGACCAGTTTACTTTCATTGAATCAGTACGACAGCAAGATGCTAATTTGTGTCGTGATCGCTCCCAGGCGTATTTCTCGATGCAGCTATGTCCCTTGTACCTGTTCCCCCGCCAACACAAGATGAGATGGAGGAACATCTGGAATGGGCAATCAATGATGTCCTCGCGGTTGGGCTGACAAGTGTGCATGATGCTGCGGTCAGCATCGAAATGTTGAAGGTATTCAAGCGGTCCGTTCCTCTTGTCCTTCTCCCGAAGTTGTCGGTCGCTGACATATTATTTTCCGTGATCCGCACTATCCTTAGAATGGCAGAAGAAGGTAGACTCAAAGTGATTTATTTTTCGCACGGCCGGTCTTGACGGATATCCTGATAACATGTCGTAGATAAGGGTATATGCGATGGCCCACGAAGGAGAGGCGGAGTATTGGGGAAGCCGCTTTGAGAAACTAGAAGATTACGGCGAAGACGGCAAGCTTAACCTCCAGAGCGTCAAATTATTCACCGACGGTGAGTATTTTGAGATCCGAGGGCTCTTCCAAGCCATCAAATCATCGGTATGTTGCTAACGCCGATATTCAGGAGCACTGGGTTCGTGGGGTGCTGCGCTGCTTGAGCCATATTCGGATAAACCTGAGACCTGTGGATTAATGCGTAGCACTGAAGAAGCGTTGCGCGAGACGATGTCTCGGTTCTGGAATGACGGATGGGGTGTTGTACGTGCAGCGCTGCCCATTCATCTCTCGCAAGCATGTCCTCATCCGGAATATTTCTTGTCAATGATAGAACATCCACTGCATTGGCGACCGTGCCAACAAGGCCGTGCTAGACATCTTCGAAGACCTCATCCAAGACAACGTATCACACAACAGGAGGCCACGCATTGAGCACGCCCAGATTATGCAGCTGGAGGACCTGGGCAGAGCTGGAAGACTCGGGGGTGAGCGCCTAGGCGATATTGGCAGCCTTCCGCGAGGTGCTGATAATTTTCTATATAATAAAGTTATAACAAGCGTGCAACCCACACATGCGTAAGTTCATCTCACCATGGCTGTGCATGATAGTAACCACTGGGTTAGAACGAGCGACATGTGGTATGCGGAGAGTCGACTTGTGAGTTTACCGTCATACATCTAGAGGCGCTGCCTGATTGACGTTGTCCGGATCGGTGCAGGGCCCCAGCAGGATCAAGGGCGCGTACGCATATCAGACATTTCTGAGGTATGTTCGGCGCCACGCGGCTCTCAAGGTACCAGGAGTGATGCTTGCTTGCGCTGAGTAGGTCATCACGAGACAACGTATTGCCTCTCGGCTCCGACTTCCCGGTGGAAGGGATAAACCCGCTCCTTACATTTTATGCGGCTGTCTCGCGGCTAGACGTGGAGGGAAATAGTCCCCATGGCTCCGGTGGCTGGTGCGTCTACACATTGAAAGAGGTACCATTTTATCTAACGCAACATAGGTATCCCTCGGAGAGCCTCTCCCGAGCACAGGCTCTGAAAGGAATGACTTATGACGCAGCGTACGCGTCCTTTGCGGAAGAGAAACTTGGTTCCTTGACTGCTGGGAAGAAGGCTGACTTTGTAGTCTTGGACAAAGACTTTATGCAGTTGGAGACACCTTTGGCGGACATCTTGACGACGAAGGTGATGGCGACTGTAATCGGCGGTCAAATTATGTACGGCGGGGTATAATATTCATAAAATCCCAATCAAGGATTTGTGCGTGGGATATACTGCGTGCTCGTTAAAATACTCATACACAAGACTATCTAATGAGTGGATGTGTATATGCTATGGTGTGTATCCTTGTCCGCGCCAACAATAAAGAATAAGATAGCAAGTAATGCGGGAGAGTGCTGAAAGAGTGAGTGTGCTGGGATGAATGCTATAAACGAAATGGACGATGAAAAAATGGCCTGGGCTATGCATATGCAGAACTCTCCAATCCCGCTTTGCTGACACGTCGCATAGGCTGTAACGTCGCTTCATCGACCGGTGCCCTGCGAACATGCCGGTAACGACCTGTCGCGTCTTTGATCTCCATTTCCTGCCCAAAATCGCCTAGTGCGGCAGTGTCCTCCGCGGTCGGCGCAGAAACAATGTTGAAAGAATGTTCTCGCGTCAGCAGGGGCGGAAGACTTTCCCGGGAATGCTGAGGGCGTCTCCCTCGCGCAGCCACCTGATAGTTGGAGCCGCTATTAGACCCCGCAGAGACGCCTTCCTCGCTCTCCTGGTCGCCGCCCGGCGCGGATTTTACAACCCCTACAGACTTACCGCCTAGCTCCTGCTCCTCGAATGACATGAGCTCAGAGACAAAGCCAATGTTGGGCGATATGCCTTTCCGTCGCTCAAGGACAAATGCATACGCTTTCGACAGTGTCCAGTGATTGGCATGTATGAGATATGCCATAACGGCTGTCACAGAGCGTGACTTTCCCGCTTTACAGTGGACGTATGTTGGAGCCGAGTGCAGGCGCGCATCATCTGCGAACGATATCAGGTAAGATATGGAGCCACATGGGAATAACTTGCAGATACCTAGTAAGTCACAGACATCCCGGACCCCCCGCGTAATATTATCCTCTTCGACAGTATCTCGCATAGGTATTCGGACGTATCGCTCGAACTTCTCGCGGAGACACAATCCATGGTCGTCATCACATTCAGCAGCAAGATTCAAGATTCTCTTAACGCCTAGCGATAGAAGCTCCTCGACATGTTCATCCGCGGTGAGTTCAGGACCTAGAAACAGGAAATTCGGGAGTATAGTGGAGACGGTAAATATGGGGTACGGGTCCTCTTCGGTTGTAGGCGGTTGTGATGAATCAGGGCGCGCAGTTGATGATGAGCGAGGCATTGGCGTAGTCGGAGTGTGCGGCATGCTGTAATTCGCAACAGATGGAGAGGGTGGAGGATAAAAGTCGCTTGGAGACTTTAGACCAGGAGACAGTAGACCCACAGAACCTGGTGGTGAATAGTTTGGGAAATTCAGGGAGAGATGAGATGAGGATGGTGGAGGGTGAAGTGAGGAAGAATTACTAGTGTGCAAAAGGGGTGCAGAGAGTGCGGCCGCCTTCGTTGGTGCCGTGCGGACTTGCAGTTTAGGCATTCCAGCGTTTAGACGTTCCGTAGAGGAGGTATCAATTCGTCCGAGTGTTGGAATACTTGGTCTCCGTGGCGGGGGAGGACGAGAAAATCCCGTCTGAGATGGAGGAGGAGAGGGAGTAGCATAATCACCACTAACGTGCCATGAATGAATTGCGGACGGCATGATAGGTGCTGGAGAGACGAGGGGATGTTCTACCTCGGGTAAGTTCCTTGGACGACCTGCTGAGGTTATATCGAGCTGGAACAGCCCGCCGGTCTTTTTATTTTGAACAGAGTCGTCCTCCCGGGACATGTTGTCTGGCATTTCATCTGAAACGATCAATTGCTTCAAGTATGGATGCCGCCGTGCGGCCGCGAAACCGCCCTCGAGATAGTCTGCACCGCCATGATCTAGGAGGGGGTGGACGACGGGTAATAAGGCCCATGCCGTCACCTGTGTGTTTGATCTGTCTTTCGGGTCCATAATTTCATCGTATACAATCACGTCACCATCCCAATCCCCACTGCTAAGCATGTCATCCCAAATATGTTTTCCATCTTCCGTCGTGATGTACTGGCGCAGGGCGTCTAAATCCTGAAATCCGCCATTAGGTTTGCGACATCTCTTCAAGATGAGGGATGGAATGGCCATGTTGATACTTCTTTCCAAGCGACTCGCCAAATATGACCCAACTTGTCGTGTGTCAATCAGCAAAGGGCGAGCTGGGGCGGAGAGACGAGCAACAAGCACAGCAGGATCAAGTCCTTGTAAAGGTTGCGAATGAGACGCCTCAATAGCGGAGAGCCTCCATCTGTCACCATCTACGTGGAATGCACTCAAAGGAGTAGCTCGAAGCTCGGAGATGGGGGTAAAATAGACACTCGCGGGGCTTATGCTATCGGTAGGGCTGGGGGATCGACGCTCGGACGCATCCGACCAAGGAGTGTAGGGAGGCGAGGACAGCTTCGTATGCAAAGACGACGACGCGGAACTACGCACGGACGACGAGGCTGAACGGAGGGGTCGTAGACGGAGGTTTTGGCGGACGCTCCGGCGCAAGCGTTCCAGTGCCTCAAAATCCTTGGAAATGTCATCCGAATTTGCATCCGGGTCCACCTCTAGATGAGGAGGATAGTTGACGGGAGAGTCTGAGGAGCCAGAGGACGGTGGCGAAAGCTGGAGCAAATCCTCGTCATCGAGGTCGACGGGGAACTCAACGGGTGTCTCGAGCTCAATGATGGTATTGCTCTGTCCTGGCCGCTTGACGGCGCTGAGCTCGAGAGTGAGCTGCGGGGGCCGGCCCTTCTTTGTAGGGGGCATTGGGCTGGACGGGCCTGGGAGGAGAATAAGACAGAAAGCGGTGCGAGAGACAGACAAAGGGGGCTTCAGCAGGCGGACTGGCGGAATGAGAAGTAACTAGGCAATGATTGATGGGCGCCTCTCCGCCACTGCACTACTCAAATTCGCCATTATTTATTTATTTTGTGCCGCTAAGACAGGTCTCGCCACCCTCCGCGTCTTCGCAACGCCTTCTCGTTTTCCTCGTCACGGCCAAGTGCAAAAAAACGAAAGTTCCTCCCCTCCCCTCCCCTCCCCTCCTGATGTATAAATCCGCCGACTTTCGCAGATCCCAGCCCGCTCAGGATGCTCCGATTGACAAATTACGCCCAAAGGCGCAACAATTGCAAGAACTCTTCCCAGCGTGGTCAAACGAAGGTATGGGCGTCCTCGCCTGTTTCTGCATTCATACTGACATCCCTTTTCATAAAGACCTCTTGTCACTGCTGAATGAAGTAAATGGCGACGTTGAGCTTGCTGTCACGCGGATCAGTGAAGGTTAATCTCCTGCCACTTTGTCTGCACAGTTCATGCTGACCCCGGGACAATCCCAGGTCATGCCCAACAGTGGGGCTCGGTCAATCGCAAGAAAGACAAGAAACCGCCTCCTGTTGCGCATGGCCAGGGCAAAGAGGCACCTCCAAGGGGAGAGCGTGGTGAGTTCCGTGGCGGCCGAGGACGTGGTGGTAGGGGTGGTATGGGACGGGGCGGTGCCGCCCGTGGGTCATTTGCTCGTGGTGGCCACCAAGAGGCCAATGGCCACAGACCTAAGCCCTCACAGAGTGGAGACGCGCTTTCATCCAAGCGGCCTGACGAGGTAGCTTCTTCTGATGTGGTCGCCCCCAGCACCCCTACCGGCGGTGTTTCTAAACTCGCCGAAGATTCTGCTGGCTGGGGATCCGCCGCTGGTGGGAGCTGGAGTGCTGCTGATCATGCAGAGTCTGGTTCTTCTGTAACCCCAGGCTGGGGGACAAGTACACCCTCAACATGGGGAGGGGATACAGCGATCAATGGTACGGCTTCGCCTGTTACGCCAATGCAGCACATTGCGCCACATAAAGCTGTGAAGACCCCAGCAACCTCAAAGCTCTCGTGGGCACAGATCGCAAGGTAAGTAATTTCTTTGTACCCGACACTCGATGACATTGTTCATATTTACCAGGGCTCAAGAGAAGCCGGCTCCACCGCCTCTTTCACCTATTGTCGCGTCTGCACCAACATCTGTACCAGCGTCTGCGCCTTCAATACTTGCTGCACCTGCAGAAGCGCCGCCTGAGACTCTTCCGAAGGAAGAAGCATCACCGGAGCTTGAACATCAAGGTTGGGAAGAACCGACGACGGTGCAACCTCCTACATGGGATGATGAACCTTCAATCACAGCGCAGCCCCCTGCTGATGACGCGTGGAAAGAGCAGGTTGCACCCGATGCTCCAAATGAAGTACATGGGATCGAACCCAATGTGCAACCGCCACCAGAACCCCCAGTCGTTCCCGAACCTACCCCTTCCACATTGCCCGCGCAGGTTCAACAGCCAGCAGTCGTATCTGAGACTCCACCGGCTCCTTCCAAGACTCTGCCTTCAGTTCAAGCTAAGCTGTCTGCCCCTACTCGCGCGAGTCTGAAGTTCAAGACTACTGATCAACCCGTCGTTATGCCGAGTTCTACATATGGCACGACTATGGAAAAGTTTGGCATGCAATTTGGTAGCCTGAGCATCGGAGGCGATGATTTGGAGGGTAACAGGTGGGTTACAAAACAACCTCCGTAGAATATGACACTGAACCTGTAATACTGCCAGTCCTGAAATCACTCCCTTGCGTATACAAGAGCTCAGTGCCGCTGATGCAGCACCTGCTTCGCAGAGCGCTGTATCTCCGACTCAACCAGCGGCATCACACGAGCTCTCGCCTTCGACCCATGTGCCTGTTGTGCCTACACCTTCGACTCAGACCCCTTCGACTCAAGTGTCGACTGCAGCCCCTATGCTGTTCCAGCAGGGTACACCTCAACCGCCGTCTCAGCAACAGTCCCAGCAGCAACCACAGATCGTCTCTCAGCCACAACATTCGTTGCCACCATCGCTTTCACAGTCGGCCATTCCCAGCCAGGCTACCATCCCCTCTCCGACGCCCGCATCTACCTCCATGTCCCAATTCTCCCACCAGCCCCAGGCTATTCCCCAGCAGTCTCTCGCCAACCAGCAACTGGCGCAAACCCAGACTCAACCCCAGCCTCAGATTCACTCACAACATCACCAATACATACAACACGGGCTTCCTACTCACCTCGACTCTGTTCCGAGCCAGGCACAGCATTCGCCGTCGGTCCCACAGGCCTCGCAACAAAGCCTAGCCGCTCAATCTTATTTCCGCCAGCCCGAAGCGGCACCGTACTTCCACACGCCTACGCCACCTGTTGGACAATCACAGGATAGTCCATATGGTGCGTTTGGTCAACTCGGCCAACAGGTGCAGCACCAAGGCCCAGCTTCCCATCTCGGTGGATTTACGGGCAATGAGTACAGTTACAATGACAATCAAAGGGTAAGTCAGATAAAACTTCGTTTTGTAACGGTAACGGCATTGATTCATCCACCATCAGCACAATCTGTACGATTCCTACACCGGCCCTGCGGGCTTTGGGAATCGTAACGTATTGAGTGGCCATGACGATATCAAGGGACTGCCTGGAGGTCAACAACAACCGCACAACGCTACCGGCTTGCCTCCATCTGCTTCGCAGCCATCGCAACAACTGAATCCGTCATCCCAAAATGTCAGTCATGGTCAACCCAATGCTGGGCAGGGTCCTCAACAAGGCTACCCACCCCCCGTGCCCTATTACTATCAGCCTTACCCTCAAAACCAATACTTTGGTTCTCCATACAACTCCGGTTATGCTGTACCGCAGCCACCTTTCGTGAAGTATCCGGCCGTCTTCCAGCCCGGCCCTCCTGGCCCTCAGTCCGCCCCGTCACCCGCTTCGAAGCAGCCTCCAAGTTCCGTTCAACCTCAATCTCCATATGGCCAGGGTTTGTACGGCCAACAACATCCTTCAAATGCGTATGATGATACGGGCTATCAACACCACGGCGGACACTCTCATGGACAGAGTGTTGGCGGTTTGCCTTCAACCG